ACTTGTGAAGGTCCTCGGTGGTCATTATTTTTGTTTTCTTTATGTACAGTGACCACCAACTTTCTTCTTTGATTTTCTTTAGTAGGTGTTTCAGGTCTGTGAGGTTTTCTGCTAGTAATATGGTATTATCTGCATATCTTAGATTGTTGACATTTCTTTCTCCTATTTTCATTCCTCATTCTTCTGTGTCCAAGCCTGCTTTTCTTATAATATGTTCTGCATACAAGTTGAAGAGATAGGGTGAAAGGATAGAGCCTTGTCTGACTCCCTTGCCAACTAGAAACCATTCTATTTCTCCGTGTTCTGTTCTGACAGTAGCTTCTTGTCCTGAGTATAGATTCCTCATCAGGACTATCAGATGTATTGGCACTTCCATGTCCTTAAAGGCGTTCCATAGCCTTTCATGGTCTACAGTCAAAGGCTTTGCTATAGTCTATAAAGCACATGCTGATTTTCTTTTGGTACTCCCTGCTGTGCTTCATTAGCCATCATACGTTTGCAATGTGGTCTCTCATGCCTCTTCCTTTCCTGAACCCCGCCTGGACTTCTGGAATTTCTGTCTCCATGTATATGTTGCAGAATTTTGAGCATGATTTTATCATATGCTTCTGAGGATAAAAGTTCTCCATGAAACTATCCTGTAAAAACTGTAATAATTGAGAGGTTGTACTTACCATGAAAGTTCATTCTGGGATGGCAGGCAGAGCAATCCACAATGGGGTGAAGGCAGAGAAAGCTGTCCCTGTTACTATTTGGAGAGAATGGTGCCTAAACCACCTTTCCCCTCACTTTTTAGCGTCTAAGTGGGTCTGTGAAGCTAAAGGAATTGTGGGAATACTGCCCTGGAATACTGCAATGGTTTCCTAAAGTAGCATTCCCAGAGCATCAGTAGCTTCAAGGATCTATCTGGATGGCAGATATTAGGAAACAGGTTAGTATCTTTATGTAGGTCAGAGGAGTGGATGGGTAAAACTTATCAAATAAAAATAATTTAAGCAACTGCATGATTCGACAATTCAGTCAAGGGCCCCTGTAGTGTCATCAATATGACCTATAGGGGGGGAAATATCCTCCGACCCAGAGATATTAATGGAACATAACAAAGAAAAGGTATAAAGAAAAAAGAAACCTGTTAAAAACCATGTTTAGTAATAAATTTGGCCATCTGTAGTTACTATGTAGAGAGCCAGAGTGACTTAGGGGTTTGAGTGTTGGACTATGACTTCTGGGACCAGGGTTCGAGTCCCAGCTCAGCCATGAAACCCACTGAGTGATCTTGGAAAAGTCACATGCTCTCAGCTTCAGGGGAAGGCAAAGGCAAACTCCCTCTGAACAAATCTTGCAAAGAAAACTCCATAATAGGTTCGTCTTAGGGTCACCGTAAATTGGATAAAACATGAATGCACACAACAATAACAGTTGTTATGTAACCTTCAGTCCTAGGAAGGCCAGGATGGTTCCCTCCTCAATCTTCTTTTGCTGGCAAGTGTTAACTTTCCTATTCTTTAACCTTTTAGGAACTGACTATAATGGGCATTTGATGGTTTGCAGCTTTTTTGATATTTCAAAATATTGTCTTTTAGTTAATTTTAAATGTTTTCAACTCTATTGATTGGTTGTTTTATTATTATTTAGAGAGAATGGATGTTTTGTCTGGTTTTTAATCTGTACTGATTTTAATAATTTGTAAAATGTCTTGAATCCCGTTACTGGGGAAAAGATAGGATATAACTGAAAATAACAATTTCAACAACAACAACAACAACATAGAAGTTGTTGTTGTTGTTGATGATGATAATAATAATAATAATAATAATAACAACAACAACTTTGCTGGAGCAACAACTGCTACACCATGGTCCTATTTGTATGTTTGATGTGAAGTTGCAATTGATCTCCCCTTGTTTTAAATAACATCATTCAAGGAAATATGTACACTGCTATTTTTAATTTATTGCACACATTTCAAATCACAGTTTACATATCCAAAGAACAACAGAATGATATCATAAACATATTTCTCTTTCATTAGATGTATCTGTCTTTCAGTCATATTATAAGAATTAATTTATAAGGCAGGCTGCAAAACTAATAGAACAAAAAAGCATAAAAACAACTAAAGCTGCCACTGAACTGAAGAAGCAGAAATATTTTGAGTTTAAGTAAATTATGTTTTAGAAGTAGAAAACCTCTAGTGTAGCTTTCTTGATGAGCAAAACTTCTTTATTTCTAAAGTTTCAAGGCAAAAATTAATCTTCTCTTGTCTTTAATAATATGCATTAAACAGAGATAAAAGTTAACTCTCACAAGGGCTGTGATATTTTAAAGCAAAACAAAACAAAACCAAGTGGAAGAAATGATGTGAAACAATTGAGATGCTGACTGAGGAAGGAGAAGCCATTAGCCATGTTCCATTCAAATCAACATTAAAATGGATTACTAGACTCTTCTTTATTCTCAGATAGAAGAGGCAGGAAAACCTCTGAAGCGTAAAACAGTTCAATTATGATGCTTAATGAGATTTTAAAAAGCAATGTGAAGTACTTTAGTTATGTTTCAAATCAGTGTGACATGAAAACTCTTATGGGGAAATCCTATATGTGCATAAAGTAAGACCTACTTAAGTCAGTGAGATGTGCTCTTCCATGAAGATACTTTGGGCCTTTGCAGACTGCTAGAAATAGTGCAAATTGAGTCCACTTTAACTGCCCTGGCTCAGTGCTAGGGAATCATGGGAACTATATTTTTTTCTGAGACATTAAGCCTTCTCTGCCAGAGAGCTCTCGTGCCACAATAAACTACAGTTCCCATCTTCAGGATCTGTAGGCTAAGTATGTAGCCTTCCTCTCTTTCTGCCACCCTCCATCTTTCCTAGCATTTCCTAGCATTGTCTTTTCCAGTGAGCCATGCCTTCTCATTATGAGTCCGAAATATGTCAGCCTCAGTTTGGTCATCTTGGCTTCCAAGGAGAGCTCAGGTCTGATCTGCCCCAGGACCAATTTGTTTGACTTTCTCACTGTCCACAGTATGCCGAGCACTCTTCTCCAGCAGTATCACATTTCAAAAGAGTTAATTTTCTAGGCTAATACTCAGAACTAATTTCAAAGTATCCCTTCTGTATTGTTCTGGCTGTCCACTGTATCCTCAGCACTCTTCTCCAGCAGTACCATATCTCAAAAGATTTAATTTTCTAGGATAATACTCAGTACTAATTTCAAAATCTCCTTCTATCTGTATTGTTCTGGCTGTCCACAGTATCTTCAGCATTCTTCACGAGCAACACATCTCAAAAGAGTTGATTTTCTAGGATAATATTCAGAACTAATTGCAAAATGTCATTCTTTCTGTATTGTTCCTCTCACACTTTTAATTAAAGTCATTTTTGATGGTAGAAACATCAGACAGAGGGGAAATTAGCTAATATTTATAGGCAGGGTCATACTCTACACACTGTAGACTGTTTTAAATATATATTAAATGCTTCAATCCCTATGTACACATACTTAGGAATAAGTTGCACTGAATTCTGTGGGATTCCATTCCAAAAGAACAAGTCAGAAATCAGATTGTTTGTGCACTTGCATTCTAATTTAGGAGTATTCTGCAACACAAATTGCAAGCAATAAGAACAGGAGTTTGAAAATCAGGTATAAATTTTCAACACAATCTACCTAAATCAACAACACATTATAAAGAAACTTTGCTCTGTGCCTTCAAGCAGTGGCACCACTAGGGTTGGTGTCACCCGGTGCGATAACTTGTGGTGTCTCACACACACACCCTTGACCTCCTCCTCCTCCTTCTCCTCCTTCAATTTTACACCATACAGAATCCATAGTAATGCTTTTTTGCACTAATATTACTTGTAAATTGTAATTTCCATATACCACTGAGTGTAATGCTAATAGTTGTGACATAAACAACTAGCAAAATTAAAATTAAATCTTCAAATTACAATACCATATGCACAACCTAAATCTATTTACCTATACATAGTGAAGTCTTCTTTAAATAAATTTATATTTTAATTTTTTTTAAAAAAAATCAACAACACATTATAAAGATTTTTTTTAAAAATTTAAATATTGGAAATTTTAAAATTTTGAAATTTTAAATTTTAATTTAAAAATTTTTGGAGGCCTCTCCTTTCTCCTCCCACTAAGCTTCACCTCACTCCCATAATCTCTTAAAGTGTTTTAAAGGGAAGCAGATGAATGTCACAGCCATTTCTGCCAAAAAGTATGTGTTTAAGGAGCAGTGGTGTCACCTGGTGTGGTCTGCACTCTTAGGACCTTATCACACTG